TCCGAACGAGGTTCCGGACCGTCCGTGGACACATATCTCGGTCGATATGATCACTAAACTCCCCGATTCCAAAGGGAACAATTCCATCCTTGTCCTCGTCGACAGATTTTCCAAAACCATTATCCCCATAGCGTGTACTGAAGAACTGTCGTCCCTTGGGTTCGTGAAAATTCTCCGTGACTACGTCTACGTACCATACGGGGTAATGCCCGAAAAAGTCATCTCCGACAGAGGAGCTGTCTTCGTGTCAAAGTTCATGAAAGAATTCTATGCCCTTCTTCATGTAACGGGGAACCCTTCAACCGCGTACCACCCTCAAACGGACGGACAAACAGAGAGAGTCAATCAAGAAATCGAAAAGTACCTCAAAATGTTCGTCAGTTACCGCCAGGACGACTGGAGCGATTGGTTACCCCTTGCCGCGTTCACTCACAACAACCGGAAACATTCAGCTACGGGCTTCTCCCCGTACAAAGTAGTCTTTGGACGTGACGGACAGGTAATCAAAGTAGCCCAATGCCCGGACGCGGTACCAGCGGCTTCCAAACTGGTCCAAGGGATTCAAGAGGTGCAGGAAAAAGCAAGAGAGTCGCTGGAGCGAGCAGCCGAATTGATGAAGAAGGCGTATGATAAGCACAAGGGAAAGGCGCGAGATTACCAAGTCGGCGATAAAGTCTGGTTGGATTCTACCAACCTAAATCTTCCGCGCCCTACAAAAAAACTAGGAGACCGACGAGTGGGGCCTTTCGCAATCGTAGCAAAGAAAGGAGCGTCCGCATACGAACTGAAGCTTCCCACAAAGTGGCGCATTCACAACCGGTTCAACGAGTCCCTCCTAACTCCATACCAAGCTCCCGAATTCCCCAATCAGCCACGCCCTGAGCGACCGCCCCCAGAGCTGATTGAGGATGAAGAAGAATACGAAATCGAAGAGATTGCAGGAGAACGGGACCGGGTTATTGGTCACGGACGCACTCGTCGCACCATCACAGAATATCTGGTCAAATGGAAAGGATACCCCGTAGAGGAAAACTCGTGGGTAAAGCGCTCCAACATGGCTAACGCCGAGGAGCTCGTCCACGATTACGAAGCCCGTCTCCAAAAAATGGTGTGGATGGTAAACGACAAGGGAAATACAATCGGATTCGACGACAAAATCCCTCGTAATTTGCCTGTCGAATACCATAATCCCGATACCCCGTGCATCACCGACATCGAAACGGTGTATTCCTCCGAGTGTACGAATCCAAAACATTCTGATACCCAACAAGACTCTTATCCCCCTTCGGAGATCATTGACCATATTGTCCTCCCCGAAGAATCTTCTGACGAGGAAGAAGAAGAAGTTAACCTCCAGAACTTGGAACGCATACGAGAGAATTGGGATGTGGATACCGATAGCAATGTAGACACGGACGACGACACCTGGTCGTTCTATTCAGAATCACAGAACTCCACGTCGAGCGACGCAGCTCACTCAAACGACTCGCTGATGAGGAAGGAAGGAGATAAATTCTCATTCGAGACGAATGAGTCTTAAGGAGGGGGTAATGTTACGGTTATTCTTTTCTTTTTCTTTTTCTTTTTCTCTTTCCCTTCTTTTTATTTTCTTTTCTTTAGTCAGCCGGATTATGCGAGGCGCGATCATCACGGACTGACTGCGCAACAGTATTTTTAGAATACTTACGTGTATTTAAGTAGAGCCTCAGCTGGTCTGAACCCCAGCTTCGGCTAAGGTTAATTCTACCTAACATCGAACTCCGTCCTTCGTGACTATCTGTCCCATCGACTTACGTCGCCTTTGACTTGCTATTGCGTCGTCTACCGAAGTGCGAGTAGCGACCTTAGCACGATCTAAGTCGATCTGAGTTAGTGGCTAACAATGTTCTTGTGGGACGTTTGTGGGCTTGTGAAATATTACTTTCGCCTCAAGGCCGAGCGATACATATTGCTCATCTCCTGTCCTAAAAGCATTTGGACTTAGAGAATTCTTTTGAGCTAGCGCGCTATTATATCTTGAAGAGTGCAAGACATCTTTTAAGTCTATTGTTATTGTGTGCTTGTATCGCACATCTCCCCCGAACTACTGAGATTCTGTGTGTGTGTGAGTGTGAGAGTGGGTGTGTTTAGTGTGTCTACGCTATCGCATTTCGAGCTTGGCACGCACAGAGCCTCTTCAGCGTGTTTGCTGTGCTAAGTCTGTAGGAAACACTTTCTGGCATCTTCAACAATGTCGCAAACCAGGATGTAAACCACTGGACTATGACTCTTGATAAGACAGTGGGTGTCAAATTCACATGCGAGCTTGATCATTGTGCTGAGTCCAAACATAGTCACCTCAAAGTCCCGAACTCAAAGATAGTGGACTGTACACCTGCATGTATGCCTGGGTTGTCATGCACAATGGTGGCTTCAAAGATCCGGATGCATCTATTTGGAGGTTTGAATTGATCGGAGCAGTGCTGAGAGCCAAATTCTTAGACTACTTGGTACATCAGTACATAGAGAATGTGAGGGGGGACTAATGTATATTAAGTGATTATGTAAATGAACCATGGTAGCTTGTAGTCATCAAGTTTAAGAATCGCGTCATTAAACATTTTATAGTAAGTTCAGAGAAGGTACAATTTCAAGTTTAGCAAGCCATCATCAGAGGAGGATAGTGCATGAGAATAGGTAACATCCACAGTATGAAATTGTAGACAAAGTACTGACATCGTACCAGATGGAAAATGTGGATTTGTGCAAGCAGCAGGTGCTTTCATGGTTCTCCCGCACACAAATGCTCATGCGTAGGGAGGTTGAAGGGTACTTGATAAATGGAACCTCTCACCAAAAAGCAAAAAAAAACAGAAAAAGAACAAAGAAAAGAAAAAGAAAGAAAAAGAAAATAAAAAAGCAATAAAAGTCCGAATGGATGACCAGTTTGATGACTGGTGGCTGTGCTGTGGCTGTGCACCATGCCTTGCAATATGAGCCTTCATCCTGTGATCATGTCTTGCACTCGATCGACCATGTGTAGGGGCATCCCCCTGCACTATAGTGACTCCACACGTGTGACAGGACAGTAGCACCCACAGTACATGCTTGTTGTATGCCACTGAGGGCAATTTTATGCTCTGTCATGCCTAACTCAGCCATTTGGATGTCCCATGGCCCCAAATCATATGCAAGGGCCCTAAAATGCCAAGATCTCATTGCACCACATAGTGGGAGGCTGCCGACTACTTGTGACAGTCATTGCCGCAAACGGCAGGCAGTTTCACATTTCCAGAGGATTGTTTTACACTTTGGAACATCCCACAGCACTGCAAGAGTCATCTGTCCTGCTGCCTTGCTAGGATCAGGTTTGGGTAGTTTGAGGGAGAGTGCAGGATATTCCTGATAGTGGTTTACTTACATGCAAAGGTGTGTGAAGCTTCTGCATGCTGTAAAAAAATGGTCTGACCCCCCAAATAGCTCCAAAAATTGTGCTGTCTCCCCGATCATTGTCCAAGAGCAAGATATAGACCTAGGATCATTTGCACCAGTGTATTGAACTGGAAAGTAATTCACCCTTGCTGCTGAATGCCTCATCAATCATCAAGTCAGTATATGTTTTGAAGAGGAGACACATCCTTTGAGCAGTAAGGTGTGTTCTACCATCTCTTGTAAATAATGAGATAGGTCTTATGGTTTAGATGGTATGAACACTCTCATACCTTCCACAACTTGATGCACAAGATGGCAAAAGCTTTTGACACGTATTCTGAAGAGCAGGCATTATGCCTGCACTATAATGGATATTCCATCCCAGATCAGTTATACAACAATCAGACAGATATGGGTAGATGAGATGATGGGACTGATGACTGGGTGTTTTTCCATCCTGAAATCATATTCAGTGTGGGAGATGATGGTATTGATGGATTGTATTTCTTGAGATGGGATACCCTACATTGCACATATTACTAATATTAATATTTCTTGTTCTAGATAATTAAATATATTCTTGATTGTATATAATATAGTTGTAGTTATTTTGTCTATTGGGAATTTCCATTCTCAATTGGGATAAATGATATATGAATACCCATTAGAGATTTTCATTTTGGCCAAATCCACAAGCCATGATGTCCCTGGGGTCCTCAGGTACTGATCCTTTTGGAATGTCATTTCTTTGAAGCACAACTGTTAGGCTTTCTATAAACCCAGGTGATAACTTGTGGAGAGCTTTAAAAGGTATTTACCAATTTCACTTGGAGGAAGAGACCTCTGTTTAGTGAATAGCATGGGTATGGGGGGTTTTTCCAGGTCACAGGTGCAGGTACTTATGGATATAGGTATAGGTTGGTATTGTCTTATCTGCCATTAACCTGACTAACCCGATAGCAGTTTTGCTTCTGTGAGAAATCCCATGCTACCACCTGAGCCGGAATGTGAGACTGTATAGTGGTACAGTTTAAGTTTTCTATGCTTGCATAAAACAAATATACTGCAATACGGTCCTTTATCCTCTCACTATGGTATCTGCTGAAGAAACTGAGATCGTGTTCAGCAAGTATAAGCAAACTGAGACTGAATGAGACAAAACTAGCAAAGCCCAGTCTACCACCTCAATGACATCTATCTTGTCGACTGTCTTGAAGGCCAAAAAGAAACTGAAGAATGTTGCAAAAAAGGTCAAGGCAGTGGTCAAAAGCAAGAAGACTGTTTCATCTCCCCATCAGTACTTGTTATCTGCACATTGATTTGCACTTATGTGCTGATAGCAAAAGCCCCATCAACTGCACCATCTGGAGATCCCTCTCCCAGTAAATCACTCTTGCTTGCACCATCTGGCACCTCTGTGATGAATGTTGATCTCCCACCCTTGCTTGATCCATCTGACTCTGACTCCAATAATGGCTCTATATGTGATAATGCCATGCTAGATGAGAAAACTGATGAGGCTGAGCTAGGTATTTCCCTATCCTCATTGCTAATGGATACCGATTCTAATGATGATATCAGAATGCATGATGAAAAAGTGGTCAGCATCTGCTTATGCATTCTTCCATCCTGTTCCTGCTATTGAGTATCACCATGATCGCAAATGCCACATCTTCACTTGTGCAGCAAAAGGATGTAAGCATGTTGTTGCTCAGTACCTTGACACAATGGACAAAGAATCAACAGGTAACATGTGTGCTGGGGTCCAGATGTCCTTGATATGGCTGACAATGCTAAGAATCACAATGGTGCATGGAAGAATGAAGATGTTTGAGTGGTTAAAGGGTAAAGGGGCAGTGATGTATTCACACTGTTCACACACCAAAACTGAGACATGGTAAGCATGTTCCCATGAGCTAATGGATAGTATAACTACTGACCTTGCATCTTCAGAGTGGAAATTGCACAATGGGTTTTGGAAAGCCTGCACCCATTCAACATTGTCAAGGATCATAGGTTCCTCTGCTTAATGAAAACAGGCCATCCCAGCTACTACCTTCCTCATCCTACTACGGTATCCTGTGATGTCAAAATAGTGTTCACAAAAACTCATCAGTGAATTGTGAGGTTGCTCCAGGTGAGTTGACAGTGTAAACAAGGACTGAAGCTGACATGTTAATAGGAATATGATGGGGAACTTAGCTTTGCAACTGATGCATGGACATTGCCAAACTATCAAGCATTCGTGGCCTTTACTGTCCATTTCATTCACAATGGTCAGCCTACATGAATGTTGTTAGACTTTATGGAGATTTCAAAGGTACATGGTACTCACCTGCAGTGGATATTGATTCAAGCTAACTCTTCTTTCAGTTACATTCAGGTGAAAATCTGGCAGAGGCATTTGAACAGGTTTTAATGGACTTCGGGATTCTTGAAAAGGTACATATTATTTAATAATATTGAATGGCAGAAACAGAACTGAATATCATGTACAGATACTCAGCATTACTTGCAACAATGCAAGTAATAACAACATCATGATTGAGGCTCTTGGAGACTCAGATGCCCTTCCATCATTCAATGGCCAGACCAGCTGCACACATTGTTTTGCTCATATAGTCAACCTGGTTGCAAAGAGCCTACTGTGACAGTTTGATCCTCCCAAGTGCAAGTCTAATAGCAATAATGGTTCTGACAATGACCTTGAGCATACCTTGCATGAGCTTGCTGACAATCTCAAGATGGATAAGATGGAGGCTTGTTTAAAAGATATTGAGGTCAATGGCGACATGGGAAAAGATGATGTAGAAGGACTGGTCGACATGACAGCAACGTTGAGTGAGGAAGATTGTCAGACATGGCAGAGAGATATCAAGCCTATCCAGCTGGCATGAGCAAAGGCATGAGTTGATTAGTTCTGAATATATGCATCTTGTCTGACATTGAAATACCAGCTTCACAAACTCTCCTTCAAGATTATTCACTTGAGCATCATTCTCTTGCCTTGAGATTCTTGAAAAAAGTCAACTCAAACAGAAGATCTTGCCATGGGACATCTTGACTTGATGGAATTCAACCTTTGATATGATTACCATATTTTTGGAGTACAAATTGGCAGTAAAGAAGATGACAGGAGAGCAGGACAATGGTCTATATGAGTACGAACTATCAAAGGATGAGTGGGCTGTCATCAAGGACCTGCATGACATGTTACAGATAACTGTTACTGCTGACTAAGGAATTCTTTTTCTTTCCCTGATGCCCATCATCTCAGGTTCTGAAGGATGTGACCCTCTATTTTTCATGCTCAACACCCAATCTTGCAACCATAATTCCTGCCATGGACCATATCGATAAGGTTTTTGCAACAGCAGCTCTTAACAATGTCAAATTTTCACCACCAATGTGTGCTGCCCTTGCTATCGCAAAGAACACTTTGAATGTGTACTATAATTGTACAGACAAGTCCAAGGTTTACCAGATTGCTATAGGTATGTCACTTGTCTTAAAGATTCTTTCAAGATCTAATTATCTAGTAATACTGCACCCATGACACAAGCTGGAATACTTTCATGAGGCTGGATGGCCAGTCTCTTGGATTGACAAGGTGCAAGACCTTGTCACCAGTGAGTTCAAGGCCAAGTACAAGGACAAGACACCCAATGTGATAGAGGTCAATACACCAGAGGTACCAAGCAGAGAGAGTAGGATCGCAAAAGTGTGTTTTATTTTCATATTCCAATATGCCATGCCAACATATTCCTTGCAGCATTCCCAGAATATGTTTGATAATTTAGACAGCACCAGACCACCCAAGCATGAAAAGCTTCAGGATGAGCTCACACAATACTTGTCAACAGATGTGAAGTTCATGAGCAACATTATTCAATGATGGTGAGACAGATGCTCAGATTTTCCATGTCTCTCAAAGATGGCTCTTAATTATCTGATGATACCTGGTATGTCGCATACATATCTCCATCTAACATTAGCACTGATATTTATTGTAGCTACATCTGTCAATGTTGAGCATGCATTTAGCTGTGGCCATCTTCTCATAACTCATATTTGAAACTGACTTTCCTCACAGACATCCTGAGCATTAATGTGTCTTGGTGATTAGAGTGCTTTGGAGTTTATTGAAAACAGTGATATTCAAGCAGTTGCACTGCTTTCAGAGGTGCCAGAGGAAGAAGGTGACGAGGATAAGGATATCCTTATATCTGATAGATGGAATAATATTCAGCTATAATCTCTTGACTACTAGTACATTGATGAGCCTAAACTTCCATGGCAATGGCAAAAACCAAAACTCTAGAGGAGTTCATGGCAAATGGTGCTTAGCGGCAATAAAGGCATTGTTGTTGTGTGAGTGTTTCAGTGCATCTCCGTGCAATGAATTCCTCAAGAACACAAGTATACACTGTGACTTTTCAGTCAGCGAAGTAGTACCCTTAACGATCAAGTACTAGAAAACGTTGGCTGTAAGCTGGGAAGGGTCTCAATAGATGAGAAGGAATGGAATTCGGTATAATTGGAAATACCGGCAAGCTGTGAACAAAGTGATGGCAATTAACTAGTAAAAGCTGTGGGCAGAATTGGCAGAATTAATGAAAATGCCATCAAAGAGAAATACCATTTGGCAAGATAACAAATACCAGGATGGCAATAGATGAAGACTGTAGTCGGGAAACTGGCAGTAAGGCAAAGAGAGACTGGCTGGCAGAAATATGAAGAGGAAGCTAGTGGCAGCAAAATGATGACTGATACTGGGTGAAGCTGAGACTAAAACTGGGCTGAGGTTAACTGTGGTAAAACAAAACTGATCCTGATCCTGAGTCTACACAGAGACTATCCTATTCTGAAACTGACAACAAGATAACAAATACCAAGGTGGGAATGGTGTTGGTGTATTATCTTGGTGTCTTGTGTGCCATTGAAATAGACTTTCTGGAGGATCAGGGAGGATCGGGCAGGTCAGAGAGAGAGTCTCTCATATTTGTCCATCCAAATCCTATCCATGGCTGCAGTTCATCCACCTTCTGTTCAACAGAAGTGAATGCAAGTGTGAAAGCCAGGGCAATAAAGCTGGATATAGCAGTGATCCATCATGTGCAGATAGCATTTCTGAGAGCCCATGCTCCTCCATGCTTTATGCAACTCATGGAGAATACTCAGCCAGCAGACAGTGATCAAAGCTCTTGTGCACAGAATGAGCATCCAACTAACATGACCTGGATAATCAAGCTCAGCTTGTTCTTCCATGCCTTTTGTGGACTTGGACCTTGACTGACTTTATACTCAAGTCATCTTTTATTAGGAAATATGACATCTTTGTCCATCAGATGGCACATCACTATGTTGTGACAAGTTATCTGAGATCAGCAGGAGAGAATCCAGCTTATATTTCCCAGGTCATTTTAGATAGTATCAACAGAGGTAGTGAATAGCACAGGTCAATCCACAGATGGCAAACATCAACCCATACCCATATCTGCATGGGTTCTGACCTGACTTAATAGGTAAGAGTACTTTGGCAGGTCACACAGGATTTTTACAGGTAGACAGGCAGACAGGTACATAGTGAATATACAATGTATATTGATGAGCCTCAAGGCTCTGTACACTCAGAATTCATGGATTTTAGCATTATAATAAAGGCCTTGTCCACTTAGCAGACTTTCACTAAGTCAATGATTGCAGTTGCGGCAATACCCACTTTTACTGCCAAATATCCTTCCTAACTCGAATTCTACATCAATATGCACCACTTCCTTAATGCTGCCAGACACCTGATTGCAGATCTCACAGAATTAGGACTATCATTGATTGCTCAGCACAGCCATCACTGACATCAGCATCAAGTGTCACTTAATAGAATGCCACAGCCAAAATACCTATTTCATGGCAAAAGACTTAATACCATGACCTTTCCACCAGCTTTACTAAGGCTGTTACAATGCCAAGACAATGCTGCATGCATCTACTTCAGTGTACTACCTTCAGTGTACTTTGCTGCAGCAACACAGCAGCCCAAGAGTCTGTATATCAGCAGAATTCTTTCTGATCACCAAGTCTATATGCGGTAAAACTGTGTGGATGCTGTTACTTTAGAACTCTGGGAGCACATGTTTTGTATCATTTCTTACCAATTGATGTACTAAGGACTTACTAAGGACTTGTTTCAAGTATTTTAATTTTATTCCCAACTTGTAGTATAAAAGCTAGTGTAGTAGTAGTAGTTATCAGGGACAACAAGTTACCAGACACAAAGTTATCGCAACTGTTATTGACCACTGTCACCGCTTGTACTCACTAGGAGACAGACAATAAAACCTAGTCACTCTGAGTTATACTCTCTGTCATGGCTTTTCTTCTAATGGTATTGGTGTATGCTCATATTATGCCAATACACAGAATTTCATGACCACAACTTGCTTTTATCTTTTATTCTGCCAGCATCATTTCACTTTCACCAGCCAGCATCGTTTTACTAGCCTTTACTTTCTACGTCACCATCATTTCATCCCAGTTCAGCTCAGTACAGTTACATCCCTGTGTGGACACAGATTAGGATTGTTATTGCTGCCAGCAGTGTCTATCATGGAATTTTGGTCAACAGTTTCAGTATAAGACCTTCAGTCACAGTATTTGGTATCTTGCCATCAGCTTCAGTATAGGATCACCAGTCTTGTGGGAGAGATCCCACACTGCCTGATATTCAGAGACATCAATCTGTTTTGCCTTTGGGTTGGAAATGATGATATGTCCATCAACAATTTTGACATTATGACTGAGACCACTGCTTCCTTTGAAATGTAGCAAGATCAAAGTGTTGATACCTGTAAAAGGATGGAAGGGTGTCAACAGTGGACATCATGTTGTTCATGATGATCTGCATGGCTTGCTTGAGGGACAATAGCTTTATCTCTCTTCCTGTGATGTGATCCCATGTAAGAGTGACAGTTTTGCCATCTGTAGCCCAACAAACTGAGGTTTTGCCACACTCAGTGTCTGCTGTTAGTTTGGCAACACATCAAATATACTTTAGATGACTCATCTGTGTGAGGCCAATCTCATATTTAGGTGAGACAAATCCCACATTTTCTTGAAGAAACCTATAAAAATATAATGTGAGAAAATGGTAAACCAAGAATTTAAAGAGTGTGCATACTATATAATGCTGGGACCAATTTCTTGGACATCTCTAGGACTGCTATCATGAAAATATTCCCCAGATATATCTGATTGATGGATGCCAAAGTCAAAGTTGCAGAGATCTGCCAAGTCTATGTCTGGGATGACTATGTCATTTTTATCACTGGCTTGTGTGATAATATTCTCTTCTTCATCAGTGGCATCAATGAGCTCTTCATCTTCATTGTTGATGATTTGTGCATTTTTCTTCTCCTCTATCCCCTCTTTTTCAAAGTCTGGCTCTTGTCGAATTTCTGTTTCATAAAGATCATGATGGGAAGGAATGTTGTAAACTGCCTTATAGCTGCTGAGGAAAGCAGCATGGAATTGAGTTGAGAAGAGGCCACATTGCATACAGGCACAGGAAGTGGTGAGGTAGTTTGCTGATTGGACATCATCATCCTTGTTGAACATGCTAAAAGCTAAGAGCTGCTCTAGTAAGGATAGCTGCTCACATCCATTTGGCAAACTGGTTAGGAGGCTCATAAAATATCGATGGACATGCTGGGCTACAGTCTCCCATGACAGAGGCAGGATAAATTCATCATCCTGCTCTTCTATGCCCACATTGACTATATGTCTCTATAGAGAGGTAAGTGCATGTTATGGTTTATTCATTTCTTTTTCTTTTCTTACGCGTTTACGCTTACCCTATGCTGCGGTTCTGATCGGACATTCTCACAGTGCTATTTTTAGTCTACTCGAACGTGTATTTAAGTAGGAGCCTTAGCTGGCCTAAACCCCAGCTTCGGCTAAGGTTTAATCTACCTATCTCAAAGCTCCCTGTTTCGTGACTATCTAAGTTCGCGACTGGCTCTCTCCCATCTACTTTGACCCCTCTTGTATCGTCCACCGAAGTGCGAGTGGCGATCTTGAGTTGATCTAAGTCGATAAGAGTTAGTGGCTAACATTTAGCTGAAGCTCGACAAACCTTGCTCAACGTCACTTCTGAGAAAGAACGTTGCCCAAGTCGCTCTACAGACGATTCCCTCCCACTTGACCAGAGAGGTCACCACTGTGCGTTCGATAGGACAACCTCGTGGTTGTTAGCGTACCGTGGGTGGACCAACAGGAAAGCACTTATCTCCAAAATTCATCCGATACACCTCCTCATCGCAGTGGTCCTTTGGGTTACACCCTTTGACTTACTGCTTCAGGCCATTGTTATCGCCTGGATCGTTCCCTACATCATCGACGACCCCATCTTTGCAGTCCTAGTGACTGTCCTCCTTACCCTTGCCCTCATCCGAGTTTGTATCGCCGCACCACTCCTAGCAGGACTGCTAGTAGCGTTGTACGGTGCATACGTACCCCTCGTCTGAGGCACCACGAACCTTTTCAACCTATTCCTAAAGTCAGCATCGCTGTTAGCAGTAATACTGTTGACATTGACTGACCCCTCATTTGACGACGATATCCCGTTGATGACCGGTTCTCACTACGAGACCGACCTCAATCTGATTATCGCGACCCTCGCTGCTTTAACCATCATCGCTTTGACTGTCGTATGGTCACTCCTTACCGCCGGCTATCACAGAAAATAAGCCCACGGACGGATGCCCGTATCTGATGCCATTCCCGTAATCTCCTCGCTTTTTACCGTCTTTTCCTTGTTCATTTGCTTGTACTACCTCCAACGGTGCTGCCATCAACAAAGACGAGTACGAGCACAGCTCCCGTTTCACTACGTTCCGGCAACCCCGGCGTACCCGCCCCCAGTAATCTTCATTCCCGCAGCATCACAGCAAACTCTCCACGATGGCCGACCCATCACACCCAGAGGACCTGGAGGGTCCCTCTACGCATCGTCGCGATCCAGCTCGGGATCCTCAGAGCCGAGCACCAACTCCTACAGAAGCGCTACCGCCGAGTCAGACGACTCCGTCGACATCACCGATACCCGGGGGGTACTCCTCCACCGAGGAGACTCGCCCCTACCAGGTCTCTTCGACGTCTCTCCAGTCGAGGGCAAGTCAAGCGCCGACGGAGCCCGAAGACAAGGCACCGGGCATCTGGTCGCGGGCGAAGAAAGCCCTGACACCGAGTTCGAAGGCGACGAGCTCACCGAGCTCGAAAGAATCAGACTCGAAGACCTCCTCGGCGACCTCTATCCGAACGAGGAGGAAGATGCAACCTATACCGGAGATAACTGGAGCGGACGTTCCCAGCACAAGTGGGAGCCGTCTGAGTGGGGAAGCACTTGGGAAGACGCCCGCGACCGAAGAATCGCGGCGGACGACGCGCGCGACCGAGCTAGGCTCGCCGCGACCAGAGGAAGAAGAAGAAGAGACGACTTCGACAAAGACTCCAGAGAGCTTAGCCTCGGGGCCTCCGCAGCTACCACCCGTCCAGCTAACCCACAGCTTGTTTCAGGCTCCTGGCCAACCCATCGAGGACCCCCAGTCGCCTGGTATCCCGACTCCAGTTGGGTATACGCCGACGAGCCAGGGGAAGAAACTCCTGTGGCCGGAGTCGAGACCAGTGGCGAGTCCGACCAAGCCCCTACAAGGCCCGCGACCCCAACGCTCACTCCCGCCGTCCCCTCGCACGAGCCGACGAGTGGGGAGCTTTGGGGCGAGTTCTCAGACTACGACCCCGAGGAACTTGGAACAGTTACCGCTTCCGAGCGCCTCGCCAGAGTCTCCAACTGGGAGCCGTCAGTCGCGTCGAGAGCCTTCGCCGACCCACTCCCTCTCTCCCAGCGTCCGTGGCCATTATTATATCACACGTACGTCGAGTCCCTCCGACTCCCTCGAGATGCCAGGGAGTCCCCAGAAATCCAGGCCAGAATGGAGCGAGGCCGAGCGCATGATGCATGCATCCGCCGAGCCAAGGAGGATGCCCTCCAAGGACCCGACGGCTGGTGGGACCTACCTCTCGAGCCTGACGCCACCCGAGCCGAAATCGAAAATCGAATACGAGCCGCCGCCGTCCGATATACCGGAGCGGCAAGAAGAGCAGGAACCGACCTGGAGGCCAGAGCAAGAGCCTGGGCCTCCTACCAGTCGGAGATCACCGACCCCGACTCCGACATCGAGAGACAAAAGAGAAACGCGCGAATCGACTGACTCGCCAGAGAGAGGAAGGAGGCAAAGGATGCCCAGCCGCCCGCCAAACAGGACCCTCGAACCGACGGTAATGACGGCGGTGAGGCAGGTCCTTCTTAATGGGCCCCACCCGCGACCTGCCATCTTCGACCTCCTCCCATGGCACGGTCTATACGAAATTATGATGGAGGACATGGAGAAGGACCCGCAGTGGTTATTCACGGAGGCAGGAGAGGATTATCGACACGCGCGCCGACTGGGCAACGTATACCTACAAAAGAACATCCTAGACGTGGAGACGTGGCACCGTGCGGCTGGGGTATGGAATCAGGTTCACCCTGAGGACTCTCGACGGGAGTGCGAACCTTACCGGCGCCCCCAACCGATGCCTCACCCGCAAGACCTGTCGGACTTTTTCCCCGACAACTTCTTCGCAGGTGCGGGAGGGGAAGATGACGATATGGACGACCCGGGTGCCGGGCCATCTAACCCTGACAAAGGAAAAGGGTCGACGGTCCCGCCAATGCCACCTATGCCGCCAAAACCGCCGCGATACCCGGACCCCACGGGATACCCCCCTCCAGGGGAAAATCGAAATTTGCGGTCACTTTCACGACCGCCCAAGCCGCCTGCGCCCCCTCACGTCCCGTCGCCACCGGATCCAATCCCTCCGTGGCAGCTGGCGCCTGGAGGGGCGAACAACCCCTGGAACGACGTCAAGCCTAAGTTGGTAACCCAACCCGAATACTTCACTGGGGTTTCCTCGGATATTACGTGCTTCCTGCATCACTGCGAGGTTTACTTCGCGGTGTTCCCGATGTACTACACCATGAACGACCAGGGGCATAACCCCTATCGCATCACCTTCGCGCAAGGGTACTTACGAGGGGATGCGCAGCAATGGTGGGTCGACCAGTACTATCGGTACCGGGACCCGCAGGGGCACTGGAGATTCCCCACCTGGGCAGAATTCTCCGAGGATCTCACGCGCGAGTTCCGCGAAGTAGCAGAATTAACGATATGGAAGGCCGAGTGGAAGAAGATCCGCCAGTCGGACTTCAAGTCCGCAGTAGAGTTCTTCGCGAAGTTTGAAAGGTTGGCCCACAAGTGCGAGGAGTTCGGTGACGAGAAACAGATGTTCGAAGCGGTCAAAGCGGCGATAAGGCCAACAGTGCGGAACACAGTTATGCATGGGGACAACGAGCGCCCCACAACCTACGCACAGTGGAAGGCGCGAGTCCTAAGGATCGACGCCAACTATCGATATGGAGTAGCCCAAGGAATGGGCAGTAAGTCCTCCCAGAACAGCGGTTCTGGTCGAGGCAATCAATCATCACAGAAGGCGGGTGGCTCTGGGTCATCAGGCGACAAGAAGGACGCCACAGGGACGACCTACGGTGGGGCCGGTCAGCCGATGGAGATTGATAAGCTGAGAAGCGATAAAAGGTGCTTCAAATGCGGCAACACCAGGTGGAGCCGCGACCATAAATGTCCGGCGGACAAGTCCAAGTGGCTTCCCGTCAAACTCCCCCCTCGCAAGAAACCCAACGCCCAACGCCTACGCCAACTACTCGCGGAGGCGGAGAAGGAAGAGAATGGCAAAGATACGAAGATCGAGGAAGTGAAGGAGGAGAAGTCGTCAAAAGACGAGCCGGCGTCGAAATAAGCGATTCGACGACGTCGGCCAAGGACTTAGTTTCTACTGGTGCGCAATCATGTACTTCTAGTCGGACTTATACTACGTATGTAGGTACTCCGTATGAACAATATACCAACTTTTTCGCCGCGTTACCAGTCGAAGAAACTAAGGAAAATGAATCGCCAGATCACCACGGCGTAGGAGGGGATTACCGCCGCTCCGCGCAGTCTGCGTCGAGCACTGAACCCCTAGGGGCCGTCCGAGCTCAGGAACCCCCGGCTCACCGTATAGGGAAAGCCCCTCGAGGGCAGAGCCCCCTAGGTCGAGTCCCGACTGCACCCCAGACGTGGGGAGGTCACCCCGGAGAGGGAGAAAGGTCGACAACCCAGCCCGCTGGGCCTGCGTCCTCGCCTGTGGGGCCGTCTGTTCCAGCAGGAGGCGTCGGAAAAGCAGCTGAGGCCGTGAACCCGGACGACCACCCTCACCCAGTAGTCACCCAAGCGACCAACAGTGAGGACCTTTCGGGAGAGCCGATATGTGTGCCCCTGCGAAGGGTTACCCGAAGTACCGCCGGGTCCAGGACGAGAGCTAAGTATGGATCCACAGTGGAGGTTACAACGCTGCGCACAAGCGCCCGTGGCCAGGGCCGAACACAGGGCAGCGAGCCCTCCTCCACCACCTCGACTACCAAAGGCGCCCAAGTGCCGCCTCGGGACCTTTCTCGTCCC